CTCCGCAACAGATGCCGTTGTCGCTTCCACTCTCCGGTATCCCGCCACGCCGACATGGGCCACCACACATATACGCACTTGCATATCCAATGCATCTCCCGGGATCCAGATCTTCCCAGCTGCCGTCAGAAAACACTTCTTCTCGGCGCTCCAGGAGGCGTATTTTTCACATGTCGGATGGCCGCGCTGCAATTCCGTGATCGCATTCGCCGTCGGCCACACAAATTCTTCGTGCCGTAAGGGGGACACCAGGGCCAGTCTGGACATCCGGGCACTCCGGGACTCCACCAGAAAACTCCGGTCCGGTCCAGGAGGACTTCCCCAACGGCTCAGGAGATCCGCCCACAGGTTCCACGTCTGAACGTACTTCCATATGCTCTTAGCAGTTGCTTGACCTCTTCGGGGGTGATACCGGGACATTCCCGGACCCGATGGCTGGTGGATTTACACTTCAGACAACCGTTGTTCGGTGCACCGATAGCCGGTGCGTTCGGAATAGGTGTCAGGGGCTTCGTGTCTCCCCTCGGGCCCCTGGGCCCTCCCAGGACCTTCGACCCGGGCGGCTTCGGTAGGTCTGCTTTGCTTGAACCACGAAATCCATTCGCCCTCGGACACGTTATCGGGATCCTTTCCCATTGTTATTGGCTGAGCCTCTGTTCGACTCCCCGTGCCTGAGTGTGGGTAGCCGAATGTGAGCCCTGGACACCCTGAAGAAGCGGATCAAATCTGCTGTTGTTTTTGATATGTCGGTCCCGGACGCGGATTCCCGGATCGGACGTATGCTGGATGGTTTGGCTGCGGCTATCCGTCGGGACCGCCAGGAGTGGGTGATCCGGGAAGAGAGCCAGGCGATCGTGAAGATCATCACGGACGCCGTCAAGCCTACGTCGTTACACCGTGCTGTTACCGAGCAGATCGCGTTGACGCGAAACAAGCCTTTGAAGAAGGATGTGTACCGTTTTGTGCGCTGGTTGCGGGAATACGCGATCGGTCACGAGCGTTTTGTGGGTTACGAAGAAGCGTTGAAGCCGCCCGTAAGAACAGACCTACCGAAGCCGCCCGGGTCGAAGGTTCTGGGAGGACCCAGGGGCCCGAGGGGAGACACGA